GGTGGGGATGTCACTGGGTCCCGGGCAGTGCGGTGGGCATAAGAGCCCGTGGAGTGCCAGCGGAGTTGCTAGGGGCTGTTGGAGGGGAGGGGCGAGCAGAGTGGGTGTGAGCCAGTGGGAGGGGCCTGGGCCGTGTCCTGCACATTGTTAGGTATCCGAAAGGGAATGTTGTCATCGTCACCATCGTATCCAGAAACTGCCCCTCACACTGCTCACTAATTCTCTCAGCAGCGCAGCTGAGGCAGACATCGTGTCCCCGTTTTACAGCTGAGGGAAGCAGTAGGTAAGGGCCTGGATTCCGTGTGCTCTCTCTGCCACACGGGGCCTGTGTGTCTGCACCCTGTGTTCTCATGCCTTTTTTTGGTCTGCAAGCCAAATAACATTTTGATCTGGAAGCATAATTATCAATACTTTCCCATAACTTAATACCCCTCTCATAACTTTTTTTAGTCACATGCCCCAAGCAAAACAATTAGGGGCAGAGTTTTCCATTGTCAGTTTAACAGCAGGTCAGAAAGGAAAGATGACAGCCCCGGGCCTGCTCCTAGGATAAGGTGGCAGCAGCCAAGAGCCACTCACACAGAGGCCTTCACCCGCCCCCCTCACCACACAATGGCCTGCCCGCCCCAGCAGGGCAGCCACAGTACAGGTAGGAAGGCAAGAAGCACTGCCCCCTGGCGGTGTGATGGCAGAAGACAGTGGGACCTAATGGAGGGGCCCAGACAGCCCCCCCCCCCCCCCCAGAGGAAACCTCCACAGAGGAAGGCACGCTGGCGGCCTGTTCCTGGCAGTGCCGGGTGGGAGCCGGTGAGCCACGCCTGGAGTGCAGAGGGAGGCAGAGTCTTAGGCCACAGTGCCCTGTGCGGTTGTTGTGGTTGTGACCCCACCAACCCTGCTCAGCAGGCAGGGAGGACTCTGCAGGAGGGTCCCCTCTTCTCAGGAGGTAGCCTGGAACCAGCATGTCGCCCCAGAACAGTCTTCCTTAATGAGCCTCTCTGGGGAACTGATCAACTAAAATAGCCGAGCTTCACACACACACACACGCACACACACTCACACTCACACTCACATACATACACACACATATGCACTCCAAATACATGCACATCACACGCACACCATACATCCACCAACACCGTATACATGCATTTACAAACGTAGTCATACATTCACACACCACACACAAAAGACACACATATACAAACACACAACACAAACATAGACTCATCAGACACCTACACACACTGACACAGCGCCCCCCCCCAAAACACACACAAAACAAGAAGCCTTTCAGCTGTGAGTCTCTGCTGCCACCTGGAGGCGCGGTGTGGAAGAAGCCGATGAGAGAATGGAAAACCACCTGGAGACTAAAACGTGATCCTGGAACCCAAGGGCAGAGGCTGTTTTTCCAGATGAAGGGCTGGAGCGCTGGCAATGAGGGAAGGAGGCGTTATTTGATAAGGAGCCTGCAGCTTCGATTTAGTAGGATCGTTTTTCACTCTTCTGAGCTCTGAAAATCACATTGTGTTTATGTGTGTGTACAGGCTGTGTGTCCATGTGCACACATGTGTGCAGGAGACGTGTGTCGTGGGTGTGCTCATGCGTGCATGTGAGAGACTGGCCTGCTGTGTGCACGTGTGAGTGTGTTGTTCCTGGGAAGGCATCCTGTAGTGAGGCTCTCAGCCAGAGGGCATGTCCAGTCGGGAAGACATCAGAGAGAAGGCGAGGGGCGGAGGACGGACAGCAGGAGCTGGAAGTGCAGGAGGAGGGGGTGCCCACCGCAAGCTCATGAGAGCACCTGCCTCAGGCCTCCAGATCAGTCGCCCGGAAAGCCTGGCCGCTCGGTGTGAGGCCTGGCACTGGCTCTGCAAAGGGCCTCAGCTGGACCCCGGAGCCCAGCCGAGGCTGGGGACCACGGCCTACACGAGGGGCAGCACACTTTTTTCTGTGAAGGGCCAGATAGACCTATTTCCGGCTTTGCAGGTCTTGTGGTCTCTGTAGCAGCCACGGAACTTGACTTGGAACAGCCTGGAACAGCCACAGACGATTGGTCATGAAAGAACATGGCTGAGTTCCAGCAAACTTTATTTAAGGACAAGGACATTTGGATTTAATATATTTATTTGTTATCAAATATAATTCTTCTTTTAAAATATTTTTTATTCATTTATAAAGCCAAAGCCATTCCAAGCTTGCAGGCCGTGCACTGACACGCGGACATGGATTTGGCCTGAAGTTGGCCAGCGCTGATGCCTGTCACTGTCTCTGGGATGAAGGCCCCGCCTACTGCAAGGTGACTCCAGACTTTCAACCATGGCGGGACATCAGTGCCCCGCAAGCTTATCAACCAGTTCATTAGATGTTTTTTTTTTTTATTGATATTTTTATGCAGCCACATGATCCAGCTTTACCCTTGAAGCATGTCCTACAGGCAACACTTTCTTTTGCCACCAAGGGAATTAGTGAAGCTACAGCCTGAGCAGTGCTGAAGCCTCATCCCCAACCCCCAAGGCACAGACCCTGCGGACAGCAGCAGGCTGAGAGGGATCAGAGTGATAGTTCGGAGGCGGGAACTTGTGGCCTTTTCCCCCTTTGCAGTCCCGGACTGTTCCTTAAAGATGTGCAGCCGAGAATGTTGTGGAGACATACCTGTGTTGCTGGTTGCCTGCCGGTCACGCAGGACTGACGCGGGAAAGCGCTACCGGGTGGTGAGCAAGGCTGCCGGGAGCACACGGGGATGCTGGCTCAGTGGGGTGGGAAGCCATGGCTTTGAGTTTTCCCAGGTGCTATTAGAATGTTGTTTTCAGGGTTTCAGTCAGCTTTTAATGATAATAGTTAATTGTAACTTTGTGTAACCAACTAAACGTGACAACGGCACAGGCTCTGAAATGTAGTTGTCATCTAAAGTAACGCTCCTCCAGGGCAGGCACAGCTGCTTGGTTTCCTCCAAATAAAATTTTTCTTAAAATAAATTCTACTTTAAAATGTAAAAGCATGTTTTGGCCTTTCGCCTGTAATACTTTACTTAGTTAACTTGCATGTCCTCATTGATCTCTACGGGACAAGGGGTGATGTTTCCACTCTCAGATGGATGAGAGAAGTTGGAGGAGCCACCAAGTTGCCTGTGAGTCTGGTTACTTTTTTTCCAGACAAACTCAGAGTTCCTTCCATTGCTAACATTTTCTGAATATGATACTCAGTTCTTTCAAAAAGAAGATGGATCTAAGTTTGTGCCTTAAATTTCATTATTGCAATAAGGAAAGGCAGTTCCCTTCAAGTATCTTTCCGTTTAATAGCACCCGTCACAGTGGCAGGTGCTGACATCATTTCTAACAAGATGAGAGAGGGCCCTGGGGGTTTTCTATTCTCCAGTCCCGAGGACACACCTCCGTCTTTTTTTCCTTGAGCTGCTGTGCAGGTACTGACCGCATGAAGCGAACTCGTCTCAGCAGGCCTGATGCCTGCCAAGACCTCCCCTTGGATATGCCACTTGTGAAGCTCATTCGATCTGCTAACTCATGGCAACTGGCACTAGATGTTAGACCTCAGTCCTTGAGTTTTGGCTTAGAAAGAATTCAGAACCAAGACTCAAATACAAGAATAAGTTTCTTTAGAAAGTCACAGAAGAGGAGAAGTGAGCCATGGAAGAAGTGAGACAGCTGGGCTGCAGACTCAGGAAACAAGTTACAGAGGCAAAAGAAGGGCCCTTGGAGCTTAGGAGAAAGACAGGCAAGAATCCACGCCTAGGGGAAGGCGAGGGGAGAAGGTGTGGGCATGCTCTAGAGAGCAAGTGAGCAGGCAGGCATACCTCTGTGTTTGCAGGCTCCACACCCTTCCCAATGTCAAATGCTTGGGGCCTCCTGTTATGGACTGAATTGGGCTTCCCGTCCAATTCATGTGTTGAAGCCTAAACCCCAGTGTGACTGTAACTGGAGATAGGGCCCTTGTGGAGGGCATTCATGTTGAAGGACGTCATAAGGCTGGGGTTGTGATCCGGTGGTCCGGGGTCCTCATAAGAAGAGACAGTGATGTCGTGCTCTCTGCACACACACACAGATGCCACCGTGTGAGGGCACAGCAAGAGGCAGTCATCTGCAAGCCAAGGAGAGGAGCTTCACCAGAAACTGACCCTGCAGCACCTTGATTTTGGAGTTCCAGTCTCCAGAACTGTGAGGGAGTAAATGTCTGTTGCTTCAGCCACCCAGTCTGTGATATTGGACACCTCCAAAGTGCTGAGAGGGGTCTGAGTTTGCTCTAAAAAAATATTTCCTTCAAGAGCTCAATCCTAAGAAAAGCCCTTACACTTGTACTCTTGTCCCCTTGACAACACCCGTCAGCTCTGCCTAGAGGTAGCCCTGTCTGCTGCTGTCCATCTCCAGACACCAGGCCTCTCTCCGGATACCTCCATGCGCATCATTATTTGAGAAGTTCTGCCAAAGAAACCCAGACTTCTGGGGGAGTCCTGTGCAGTTCTGGGTGAAACCCTGGTCTCTAAATCTCACAGAGTGTTCCAGGGATTCTAGAAGCTTCTCTGGAGACTATACTACTAGTATGTGGTGGCTGGGGCTGTCGCAACAGCTGATGACTCCACTCAGTGTAGAACACGAGAATCACTTGGAAACATGACCTGGCTACATGGTGGACCTGAGGTCATCACAAGGGTCCTTACTAGAGGGAAGCAGGAGGTCTGAGTCAGAGGACATGTGACAACAGGGTCAGAGTGATGAAGGTCCATGTGCCAAGAAGGGGGAAGACTCTGGAAACTTCAGAGAAACAAATTCCTCCTTAAAGACTCCAGAGGGAACACGCTCTGTTGACACCTTGATTTTCTCCCGCTAGAACCGTTGTGGACTTCTGACTTCCAGAACTACAAGGTAATAGATTGTGTTGTTTGAGCCACTAAGTTTATGATAATCTCAGTGTGACAATAACAAACCACCATGGCCCCTTTAAAGTGGAACATTTGTCTCTCACTTCTTGTTCCTGCTTCCCCTTTTGAAGAACTCCTCAATTTATAAAATCTGGTTTGTATCAATGTCATTAATTTCAATAATATATAAAAACATTGTTCCTGTATATAAGTTCCTCCTCCATTTTTCTATTGTTACAGATTACATCTTTATATACTGTGTTTCTTCCAACCTTTTTACAGTTACTGTGCTATGCAATATTCTTTTAAATCAGATAGAAAACAATTATAAAAAGAACATTTATGCGGTCTTTTATTTTTACCCTTATAGTTACCGTCATCAAAAAAGAATGTGCGATTTCTTCGTATGCACAGGAGTTTCCTCCCATTTCAGCCTCCTGTACTCTCCTCAGTATCTCTTTTGAGAGGGTCCTTGAGAGGAAATTCTTGCATGTTGTTTCTTATCTCAAAATGACTCAATTTTTATTTGAAGGATACTTTTGCTGGATATAGAATTCTTCCTTGATAGTTTTTCTCCTTTCAGCTCTTTGAATATACCATTCGACTATCTTCTGACCTCTATTGTTTTAGATGAGAAATCAGCCTTGAATTTTATTGAAGCTCCTTTGCATGTGATGAGGGGCTTATGGTACTATATTGACAACACAAACGTATACCATAGTCCTAAATGTGTTGTTTAATACATTCTATTCTGCTTGATCCATATTACATAGATAATGCAGAGAATGGTCATTTATGAGGTCACAGGGGTCACATTATATAAGTGGTCGATGGCCGAGTGCTTCGAAGGCAGCCTGTATGTGGGCTCTGACTTACATGTTTTTAATATACTTTCTTTGATCTGGAAATGGAAAGGAAAGCAGAACACACACAGAAAAATCAATCAACCCCAGTAAAATATTAGGACTAACTAGTGTGGTAGATTATTTTCAGAAATATTTAGTTCTTTCCCTTCACCTCCAAGGAGGGTTTCCTGATCCAAGATGTCGACTTGGTCGTGCAACTTGGGGTGCTAGCTTTCATGGCAGAGCAGGGGCTCAATGAGCACTTGCCCAGTGGGGCTCCCATGCCTGGGATAACCTGCCAGTCTGGGAACTTGGCATCAGACACAGGGCACAGAGCTGCCTCCATCACGCCGGCCTGCTTTATTACTCCAGTCCATGCGTGAGTTATCAATACATAGTATTGCCTGCTACTGTGACTTTATGGTTGTCTCTTATGCAGCATTGAAGATTGTTAGCAAAATAAAAAGTCGATTCTGGATATGATATTGTGAGTCAATGAGCAAACAGCTACGTGTATTAGTCAGCTTTAGCTGCATCAACAAGCAAGTCCCTTTCTCAGTGACTTAAAAGAGCCTGCATTTCTTTATTGCTCACTCCCAGACTTCAGCTCGGCTGAGTCAGTTCTCCCGCAGGCAGAGGTTGACTTTTGTGCATTTCCAGGCTGAAGACAGAGTTGTGATCTGGGACACGTGGTACCTATGTAGACAGTAGGGGCACAGAGAATGCGCCCAAACTAGCAAGTGTTTTTGCTCAGACAGACACACTCATGCCTAAAAAGCCAGGGCAGTTTGCGGGATAAGGATGTATATCTTGCAGGGGCTGGTTGGGGGTGTGGCAAAGGACATAAGTACTTCCTGAGCAACAAAACCACCTCCCACCAAGGTCACGCAGCTGTTCAGTTAGCAGCTCTTCATGAGCAGTTTGATTACCCTACATCATGCATTCTTATACACATGGTTTGATAATAAAAACAGATTTGATATTTAGCACTTTTTTCTGGGAGCTTCCCTCGGGCCCATTTATTCTCAGACACCGTCTCTAGGGTGAGATTCATTTGCAGAAAGAAGCTGAGGGAGCAGCACGTTCACACAGGAAGGCGTGCGGGAGGGAGTGGGCGCATCACTGCGTCCATGCGAGGAGCAAGCTGCTGGCTGACCTGGAGCTGGAGCCTGAGGTCGGGAAAGCCGGGAGTCATGCCAGCCCCGAAAGACGCTGTCATGTCTGTTGGCTTCTTTTGCAGGTTCCTGGAAGGATGTCATGCCGTGACCTGCACTGGCTGCCCTGACACAGTTGCAGTCACTGTCCTTCGCTTCATGACCGCAGCTGCGGTCAAGGGCCATGGGCCCAGCAGCCTTCCCTGCCACGTGCCTGTCCTGGGGACCCACAGCAGATGCTCTGGGGGCAGAGCTACTGGGGGTAGGAGAGGACGAGAGCATGGTCCTGCCCTCTGCATAGCAGCAGCCCCTGGGCATCTCAGGACTGTGCCTCCGTGTTCCCCAGCCCAGCTCGTCGCCTTTATTTAGCATTTAAATCAGAGTAGAATGATGTCGAAAGTCCATTGAACTACGGAGTAACAGGAAGCGCCCTGACTCAGAGTGCACGCCCGTTTCCTGCTGTGAGTGTATTCTCATTAAGGAAGAAGAATTTGAGGACGAACCCAGCACAGCCTTCCACTTCCACTTCGAGGCCTGCACGCCGCGCCTGTTTTCATTGTCAGCTAGAACGTGCTGTCCCCGCAGAGCAAAATGCAACCCAGTGGACAGCACCTCCCCAGCACCCCGACGCCCGCAGGCATATTCCGCTCTCGGCCGCGAGGGCTTTGACTGTAGATTCTCCTATAAGCGGAAGCGTGCAGTATCAGTCTCCCGGGCCGGCTTAGTGCGTGTGGCGGGATGCCCAGGCTCACCGTGTGGCCCGAGGTAGGGTTCCTTTCCTGGTGAAGGCTGAGTGAGAGTCCATGGCAGGATCCCCCCAACCCCCAGAGCCAAGATGTGGACACAGCCCAGATGCCCTTCCACAGCTGGATGGATGACACGTATACACGTATCTCCATCTATTAATGCAGAAAAGGCTGTGGAGCCGGCTGGTGCTGGTGCTTTGAGAGCCATGAAACAGCATCCACACCCATCAGCGTCGCACAAGGGGTCGGGCTCCTGCCCCGCCCTCCTCGGTTGCTCTACTCCCCAGCCCTGCTGCTCCAGCTCGCGGGCATAGCTGTCCTCCTGTGTCACTGGCCACCCAGTGACATCTATCCTGTGGGAAATGAAAGCCGTGAATGCAGAACCGCCGTTCCCTCGCGACAGAAAACATCTCTCAAAGCCACTCCTCAGGCCCCGCTCTCTTCCAGAGAGAACCGTTCATTTCTGGGATTGAGCCGCTCTGAGGGCGCAGGGCAAGGTCCTTCCCCAGGTCGCAGGCATCTGTGCGCGGAGGGTCAGACACCGCCCGTGCCTGCACCCCTCCCCCTGCGAGTCCCCGCAGGGCCAGCCTGGTGGGTCCCAACGCTGGAGAGGGGGAGCCGCCTCTCGGCCTAAGAAAACGGCCACAGGGACCCCCGGGGGAGGGCTGCCTGCCGAGGAGAGTTTGTTCACATTTTCATCCCCCGCTTCCCCACCAATCCTCCCAACCATGTCCTATTTCCTGAAATCAGGAACAGCCCCAGGCTTACCTGCTCCCTGCGTCTGCGCGGACCATCCGTCTAGGATGATGGAGGACTGGGTCGCACAGTGACCGAGGGGCCTGAGCCGGGTGACACGGCTGAGAATGGGGGATGGGGCTCTGCAGGGTGCCAGCTGCCCACCCACTCCGGCCTGAGGAGGCCTTGCGTGGAGCCTTCCCCGGTCCGGCGGAGCCTGAGGGAGTCTGATGGAGGAGGAGGTGGCACCTCCAGCCTCATGGGCCGCCTGTGCACAGGACCCTGGGCCCTCTGGCGCCAAGCAGATCCCTTTAGAATGAAACTGTGTAGCTGCCAGCATTTAAGCCTCCATTAAGCCCTGTGCACCTGTTCCCATAGTTTTGTTCTTTTACAAGGAGAACATCGTTTAAAACACTTGTGCCCCGGCCTATGTGGCTCAGCTGGTTGGATGCCATCCATGCACTGAAGGGTCACCGGTGCGATTCCTGGTCAGGGCACGGGCCTGGTGGGGGGTTCCTTGGATCCCGGGTGGGGGGGCGCGCAGGGGGTAGCCAATCCATCACCAAGAACATGCCCGCACTTCTGTTAGCTTGGAGGCAGCATGCAGGCCTGTGCACATGTCAGAGAGAAAAGAAGGGAGGGGAGAGGAGAGGGGAAGAGATGGAGTGACTTCACTCTGCGTCTTCACCGTATACAGCTGAGGCCAAAATGTTGACAGATCAAAGAGAAAGTTTAACACATTGCAAAATCTGCATCACACAAGATAATTATTAGTATTGCAACGAAATAAGTGGCCCTTCCCTAAATCACTGAAAGTGTCAGACCAAGCACGTCAAGCTCAAAGGCTACCATGGGCCAAATAAACAAGGTTGAAGTGTATGTGGGCTGCAAAAAGGCAAAAGCTTCAATTTTCACAGAAATGTAGGTTTATTTCGATAGAGACATGCTGAATACAAAGGGTTGAAATAAATGAATAATTGTTAACATAAAATAACTGAACATTTTTGTAAAAATTAATAATTTTTTGAACATTAACTTACCAGACACTGAATAACTACACAAATTAATAAGCATAACACAAATAAACCTATTTTTCTTGTTCTCCGAAAGCGAAATATTTCCTGTTGCACATACCAAACAAGTCAGTCCAAGGCTAATTAAATGGCCATCAGCTGCTAAAATATTCGCTGCTGGTATTAGTGGAGAGAAATGGTGCGCCTGCGCGTAAGGTGCTTAAGGGAAATGAATGCAACATGATTATAGTCATCAGTCATTAGTAATCAGCCATTAGTAATCAGTCATTAGCGAATGTTGTAGTTCATTATTAACAATTATGTGCAACAAGATATTGTAAAAATTAAGTTATGAAATTTTTAATCAAACGTTTCTTACATACCATTAAATGGGCTGGGCCGCCAAATATTCGTTGTGGGCCGCATGTGGCCCACGGGCCACAAGATTGACCTGCTTGTGTTAGACAATAAATGTGAAAGCTGAGAGATGTGATGGCGGAGCTAGGCTTATGAAGGCTGCACACACTTTTTTGAATAAAGGTGTCAACTGTAGGAAAGATAAATCCAGCACAAGGTAAGCATCGTATAGTCTTCTTAGGGAATGAGCAAAATGATAAGCTGGAGATCATTGCACATAATGTCTGCTTCACACCGTACCACAAAGTCATCACCAGCACTCTGTGGGGCCGCAGGTGTTTGTTCTGGAGAGTCCCACAAGTCTGGGTGTGCTCTCTGCAGTATACAGAGCTCAGGGAGCGTGGGTTCTCAAAGATCTTTTACGTCATTAATGAGCATGGAGAGACTAAGAAAATACTTGAGGTGTCCGTGTTCCCTGACTCAGCCTGGAGCTGGAAAGAAACCTTAAAATGAATCATGAACACAGACTGACTATCTCCTGCCAAGCAGTCAGCGGATTATTAGCACCTTGTGTCCATAGAACGCTGCCAGGACTCGGCCACGCTTCCTCTGCAGCTCTGGAAAGGAGATCGGCCAACTGGTCCCCCTACTTGACTATGAGCAACTTGAAGGCATAGCCACGATGGTCACATTGTTTGACTTACAAGTTTCCTGGAACAGAAATGAGAGAGGTGTCAACTGATAAGCACATGCATGATTTCTTGTGCCAGCGGAGTTCACATCAGTGGTTAGGAATATGGCCTGAGCTATAATTGTGGTCTGGAGTGTTCTACAAATGGGCTCCTCATAGCTTGGATATTTGAAGCATGGTGGAATCTACCCCTTGTCCATTCTGTGAGTTGCTTGTTTGTCAACCTGAGATACTACCCACCTATTGACTCAGTCAGGGCTAGCTTGGGGCTCCCAGTCATTCCAGCCACTCACCATTTCCCAGCAGTGATGGAGAGGAGGTGAGTAGCCACAGCCTGCGTGAGGACCACTGGAGAACAGGTGACCTGTGGTGATACACTTTAGAGGGGAACTGGGACAAAGACCTCAGGGCTGGGCCTGTCTCCCAGTGGAGGGAAAGATTTCTACTTCACAAGTGCCAAACATTTGACCCAACATTTACCACTCTGCTAGACTCAGGAATATACACCACAGAGAACACGCCAGGAGGAGGCATATCTTTGATCTCAAGCTGATCATTTCTGCTTACAAGTCAGTGAGGCAGGCGCTTCTGTGGACCTCCAGTCCTATCTGGGGCCCTTCACTGAGGACTCAGGCTAGAGGCATTGCCACATACCTCGCCTTTGCCTCCACAGGGGCTGCCCTGGTTCCTGTTACTCCTTTTAGCCCACCCCCTGGCCACCATGCTACCCACAATACAGCCCAGTTTCTAAAAAGAAGGCACCCTTACAGCTGACCCACATCCTCTCACAGATTAGCAGTGCCAACTCCATAACGCCCTGCAGCCCATGCACCTCGAGCCTCACCCCAGTGCCTACCTTGTGGTGGTTGGAGGCCTCGCCAACTCCCCAAACTCTCCCCACAGTGCCAGGACACCTCAGGACCACACCCTCGCCTCTCATCTCGGCGGGTCTTGTGCTTTCATACTCCACCGAAAGCTGCTTCCTTAGGGACAGGGCTTTCCTTGGGCATCTCATGTGGTGGCCATTTCCCACACTCCTTTACCCCCAGGCCTCGCAGTGGAAAATGCAGCTTCCTGTCCTCATTATGACATCATGACTCCCACCCTCCGTCCTCACTAACCATCCCTGACTTTGAAGCCCATGCCCTCAGACACAGCACTTCTGCCCTCCCTGTTGTAAGTAGGTGCCCAGTGCTCCCATTACCCCTGAAGAGCATCTGCTTCTGTCTTCTCTGTCATCTGTCACCATAGCTGATGACTTCTACGTTCAAGTAGCAAGACTCCTGCTCCAGGCCCCGCCATTCCTGCACCTTCTCCCTGGCCATCCTCTTTCCTGTCCTTCACTTGGAAACCCACTCTCCTGGTGAAATTCTGGGCTGGATCTTTATCAATGGCAGTGTTTCCTCTATTTGAATGCTGTGAAATGTTTTACTCTGTGGAGCCCTCCCAGCCAGTAATTATACCTCCATTTTCCTGACCATCCACCCCCTTTCCTCACAACAATCACCCCCTTGCAGATAATCTAGTGATCTTGCCCCTTCCTCCTTTTGTATACTTGTCCTTGAACTATCAGCGTCGCTTAAACAATCTTTTGAAAAGTGTCTATTTAGGTCATTTGCCCATTTTTTATTGGATTGTTTATCTTCCTTTTGTTAAGTTGTATGAGTTCCCTGTAAATTTTGGAGATTAAACCCTTATCAGACATGCCATTGACAAATATATTATCTCATGCAGTGGGCTTTCTTGTTGTTTTGTTGATGGTTTCTTTTGCTGTGCAGAAGATTTTTATTTTGATGTAGTCCCATTTGTTT